TGTGTGTGTGTGTGTGTGTGTGTGTGGACATTCAGTATTAATTGAGGAGCTCTCTGATCTTAGAGAAGACGAAGACGCATTTTTTCCCTGTATGCTTCAGTTCTATGTCTCCTCGGGGGAGACGACTTGAGAGCCGTGCTTTTCCACGAATGAGGCGAACCATGACCGCTGCAGCGCCTGCCGCCAATTCGCTGTTGACTTGGCTTTTTAACCATCACCAGCACACCAGTTCATTCCCCCCATCTCCCCCATCCTCCTGCTCTTCACTACCGCTGTACACCTCTACGCCATTCAATGCGTCTCTGAAACATATATGTCTGTGTGGCAGCACAGTGTATTTAGGTTCTCGCCTTGCATGCTTCACATTAATAAATACGATTCCTCTTCTTCTTTTTTAGATAATATTTTGAAGTGCGTGCCGTCAGCGCAGTATCAACAAGGACAAACAACCACGGCAGGTACAATACGGAAAACATGGGTTTGCTGAAAACAAAAAGGCCTCCAAATAGCGATCCAGCAAGACTCCCCCCTTAGAGGAAAACACACGTCCCACCTTCCTGCAATAAGAAAACGGGAGAGGAGAGGAGAGGAGAGGAGAGAAGGCGGCTACAATTGGCGCCCTCCCTTCGTTGCTTGCGATCGACACAACACCACGTTGCGCGAGAGCACCGGAGAATAGATCGACCCACCCAATTGCGTCGCCGATAGAGACCGAGACAGAGAGAGAGAGACGAGGCACACACACACCTCCCACCAGCAGCGATTGACACATCCGACTCTTTTCTCCATCTCGCCACCTCAGCAGACGCGGCTGGCTCAAAAAATAAATAGTAATAGTAATAATAGTCAAGCGAATAAGAAGAGGAGGCAGCCAGGACGAAACATCATAAGAAATAACCAAAAACAAAAACAAAACAACGGATATGTCTGCATGTGTGACGGTGTGGCTGCGGGTGCGCGTGCGTGCGGGCGGGTGGAAAAGGAAAAGGAAAACAACGAAACGCTCAGCGAAAAGAAATGCCGCCGTCGCTGGGGAGCTTACAGGAGGATCTTCTCTAGAATACCGCGCGCAATGGCGTAAAGCGGCGGGACGCCTTCCTGCGGTGTCATCGGAGCGGACAGCGTGGCGGCGCTCGCGGGGGCCTTGTGTGTCAGCCGCGCCTCCGTCTCCGCATCGCTCTGCGCCAACGGCAGGTCGCTTGTGTAGTACGCAAAACGCGAGATCAGCCCCTGGTGGGCGATGCCCTGGCGATAGAAATCCTCAATCACACGCGCAAAGTAGGAGCCCTCCATCTCTGTGCCCACGCAGCGCCACACCTGCTGATAGTATCGCAGCAAGTGGACGTTCTGCAGCATCGTCCCCGTCACGGTGAGCACCTTGCCGTGGTACACGGTCACCCGCGGACCCGCCAGCTCCCGCAACCGCTCCGCCGTCAGATCTTGGTTGCGGCAGTTGCGCAGCTCGTCTTGGTTGTCCTCCAAGATGAGCGACGACTTCGACAGCAGGACGTGGCTCGCCAGTTGGATGTCACCACGCTTGCCGGTCAGGCCGCCCGCCTTGCCCATCACACTCACACTGCGAATACGCTTGCCAAAAGCGCTGAAGATGACTCGGCAAATTCCCTCCGCCTGCGCGCCAAAGGCGAAGTCCATGTTGATGATGAAGTGGCGCTGCAGGCGTCCGTTCTTGCTGTGATGACCCGTCGGGGACACCTCCGGCGAGGTGGTGTCCGGCGTGCTCATGCCCTTCACCTCCACCGACTTCCCATCCGCGCGCTGCGGCTTCACGGCGTTGCTGACGGAGATGTCGCCCTCCCCCTCAGGCATCATGCAGCCGATCACCCGAGTGAGCTTCCCGTCGGGGCCGGGGCGCCAGATCGGCTTGCACACCTGCGCCCACGACGGCACCGCCGACCCGCTCGCCCCCGCGGCGTCGTGCGGCTCCCCTGCCTTCCCCGCCTCGTCGTAGTTCATGTGCAGGGCATCGCGGATGGTCTCATCGATGGTGTCAAAGTTCAGCAGGTGCACCGGGATCACGTCCACCTGCAGCCCCGTCATGGCGGTGTCCTCCAGCACCGTGATGCCGTTTTCTTCCAGGCTGCGGTTGTACTCATCGCGCAGGTCGGGCCGTTCGTTCTGCAGGAAGCCGTTCAACGAGGCGTACATGGCGTCGTTGATGTCGTGCCACTCCTCCGGCTTGCCCAGCCGCTTGCCCTCCTTGCGGCGCACGTAGTCGAGGATCTCCTTTCGGTACTTGCGGTTGAAGCTGCAGAGCAGATTTTTGATGCAGTGGGTGTTGCTGCTGACGACGTCGATGTATAAGTTGTCCGGGATGGCCGAGAAGCGGTCCAGGCCGAGTTTCTCCAGCACGCACCCGCGCAGGTTCAACGCCCACTCGTGGAAGGGGTTCGTCTGGAACTTCATGGACAGACTCGGGTCCACGCGGACGTTGTACTCCTCACGGTGCATCATGATCTCGTAGATGCGCAGGAGGCTGTTGTGGCCCCAGTTGCGCAGCAGGCCCGCCTGCTCCTCCTCTGTCAGCGGCATGCGCTTTAGAATGTTCTGCACGCGCACCATCTCCGCCTCACGGGAGACGCCCGTCGGCGTCAAGTACTTGCCATCGATCTCTTCCTGCTCCCGCTGACGCAGGTACTCGTCGAGGATGTCGATGGCGGGCGGGTGGACCATGCCCTGCACCCGTCCTCGCAGCTTGTTGCTCTCGATGATGTGGACGCAGAGCATCGTCAAGAAGTCCAGCAGGTCCGTGAAGCCGTCGCGCAGCAGGACCAAGGTCTTGCCTTCCATCCCCAGGTGCCAGGTGCAGCGCCGACGCTCCTTGGTGCGAATGTACGTGATGGCGGTGCGCATGCTGCGCGTGCTGGCCGAGCTGTCCGCCGTCTTGCGCGTGTCCGCTGCGCGTGCCTCGACTCGCATGCGGCTTGCTACAAAAGGCGGCAGCGAGTGCACGAGGTCGAAGCAGAAGGTTGACGTCACGTTGCTCGGCAGCCGGTTCAGCGCGTAGCCCCACGCCCCGGTGTCGACGGTGTGGCTGAACAGCTTGGTGTGGATGACGTTCTGGATGCGGGTGTAGCTCTCCAGGATGGACCACAGCGGCAGGTACTCGTTCTGCGCGCTGGTCGGCGAGAAAACGTAGCGGCAGAACTCGCGGATGGGGCCGAAGACGTCCATCGAGCCGGCAATGCAGATCCCCACGCCCTGCGCAAAGCGGGGGTTGCGGGTGAGGGCGGGCTGCAGGTCGTGGTAGGGCAGCAGCGACAACACCGTCTTCTTCGTGGCGTTGCCGGCGCGGAAGACGAACTGCGAGGAGCTGTTGAAGACGCAGTCCTCGATGCCAAATATTTGGCCAGGGTAAAGGTTGCCGACGTGGGTGTAGATGACGTCCGAGGAGGAGCGGCTGTCGAGGGCGCCGTCGGCGTGCTCGCTGTCATCCATCACAATCCCGTAGCCGCTGAGGTTGTCGCCGCGGTTCGGCGTGCGGCCGCGCGTGGAGCGGCGCAGTGCCGCCGACTGGTGCGAGGAGACGCGAAAGGCGCCCTCCATCGCCTTGCGTTCGCTGCTGAGGGAGTCGACGCGAAACACGTCCACATTCCCCCAGACCACGATGTAGAGGTGGTGCACGAGGGTGCCGGCGTCGAGGATGACCTCGCCCGAGGTGTACTCGCGATGCAGCGCGCGCGGCACCAACTGCTTTAAATCCACGTCGTCGAGCAGGGAGGTCAACAGGGAGTGACGGTACAGCCATTCCATGTCCTCGTCCGTCTGTGCGGCGTGGCCACGTGCGATGATGTACTCCATGACGCGGTTGCTGCACACCTCGACGGAGTCCGAGTCGTGGAAGAAGGTGCTGGGTGAGATCACGGAGCTGTTGTCGTCGCGCCAGTCCGCGGCGCGGTAGCTGCGCGGTGTTATGGTCGATGCCGTGCTCTTGTCGTCCACGCCACCACCGCCGCCAACGCCGTCCTCGTTGCTCTCCTCATCGAAGCTCTCCACGTCTTCTTCGTCGATCATCTCGGCAGCCCGCATGACCGCCTTCACCGCACGGGCGATGCGGTTGCCCGTCTTTTCGTCCTCGCCGTCGCCGTCGCCGCCATCGTCCGCCGCGGTGTGCGGAGTGACGCTGCGATTGTGGATCGCCGCACGTACGTGGTTCACCGCCCGCTGCAGCACCTCCAGCGCGTCTTGCTTACTCTCCCCACTTTTGCCGCCGCTGTGGGGATCGATGTTCTGGGGGTTCTCGGTCGTGGAGTTGCTCCCGGCCCCTTCGGCCTCCGGGGACTGCGGAGCGAATACGTACGACGACGGCGTGGGAGAGCGCGTGGAACGCTGCGACGGGCCGGCGGTGTGCGCGCTTTCCAGGGCAGCCGCGTACGACTCTGGCGCCTGCGCGGCACTCGTCGATCGCACGATGCTCTGCGCCACGGCGTTGGCCTGCTGCCAATGGCCGACGCCGGCGCCGCCAGTGCCGGACGCGTTCATCATCCCCGCAAAGGACGTGGTGAGCGGCGTGCTCATGAGCGGCACCGTCGTCTTGCGAGGAACGGAGGTGATGCTGTTCGGAGGGCTCTGCAGGTTGTCGTTGAATCCCGCTAGGACAGGTGGGCTGCCCACGCTGTTCGTTGCACTCGTCGCCATGCTCGGCACCAACGGGCTGTCTTGCCTGGGTGCGATCGGGCGTGGAGCGGAGGCGGCCTGTGAGCTGGGCGGCACCAGCGTCGCCACCTCTACGCCCTTGTTGACGGCGGTGTTGCTGGTGGTGGTGGTGGTCGTCGTCGTCGTCGATGACGCCTTGTTGTTGCTGCTGGTCTCCGGAGTCTTCTCACTCGCCGTATCGGCAGAGGCGTTGATCACCTTGAGGCACGCCTCCTTCTCTTCGTGGCTCTCGACGACGTCCTCGAGCGCCACGGCATCAGCGATTTGGTGCCACGTGACGCTTTCAGCGGATCCCTTCTCCGGCTCGGCGGTGGCGGCAGTGGGAGCAGCACCACGGTTGCTGGTGGCTTTCTTATCCGCTGTCTTCTTCATCTTTTGCGGTGCTTGATTACTGTTTGCGAAGTTTGAAAGAGAGAACGCGTTGTCTCCGCTACTTCAAGAGAAGGAAAAACAAAAAAGCAAGCAGTAACTGCGACAACAGAAGATCTGCGTGCCGGCGTTTCGCTTTGCACTTTCAAATGAGAAAGAGAAAAAAAAGAAATTCGAAAACACAAGAGGATAAATTGTTGTGTTATCTATTTGTTTCTCTCCTTCTTTATTAACTTTCTATTAAACGGCGTGTGTAGACGTTGATGTACTTTTTTGAGTTCCGGCTTCGTTTGGTTACTGCCTTTTACGTTTGCTGTCGTTTTCGTGCACACCGCTTTCTTTTACGTTTTTTTTTTACGCCCGATAGAAAACTGATGTGTGTGTCTGCGTGATGTATGTGGATGTGTACACGTGGATGTGTGTGTGTGTGTGTGGGGGGCGTTGGCTTATGCACCTCTCTGCGTACAAATGGTGAAGGCCTTTGCTTTTCTTTTCCTTTCTTTGGTGGTATGTATTCCTTAGCTTTATAAAATGAGAGGGATGTCGAAGACAGAAACAGAAACAACAACAAAAAGGGGCTGACGGTCGAGTTCGCTTGAAAAAAAAAACCCTAAAATAAACAAATAATAATAATAGTAACAGAAACAGTTTAATAGTAATCGAAGCGGTCCGAGAAGCTGCTCGTCGCAACGCCCTACGCAACGCGGGAGTGTCGGGAGAGGTGGAGAGGGAGGAGAGCGGGAGAGCGGGAGAGGGCGAAAGAGAACAGCAATAACACCCCCCAGAAGGACTAGCGAGCAGCCGCACCCGAGAGAAAATAAACAAACAAGATTTCAACGTGACGAGAGAGAGAAGACGGGTCTCCGGCGTCCGCGAACAAAGTGGCGATCGATAGGCACAACAGACAGCAACAGACAACAACAGCGCACGACAGCACGGTAGAGAAAGGAAGGCCCCTTTTGCTCTTGCTTCACAAAAGAAAATATTTAATACTTAACGGAGAGAGGGACAGAGACGGACAGAGAGGTGTTTGCAATGGAGATTAACGGGATGAACCGTTCAGGTAAGATATATATTCCGTACGCGGGTAAAAGAATGAAGGGAGAACGACACGGCGGAACCTTTTCTTTATTCGGAAGGAGAGGAGACGAAAGAGGAGGAGAAGGAAGGGTGATGTTGCAAGACGGAAGACCTTCGTGGCAGCGGCTGACCACCACACACCACAGCACAGCAAAGGGATGCGAGGCCGAGAACACGGAGAGAACCAAAGCGGCAGATAGACAAAGAGTTTGTGCCACATCACACACACACACACACAGCGAGAGCAACTACACAAAAGATGAGGGTTCATTCGCGTGGTGAGGTGGACGCATCCCTCACGGCACTCCTGTGTCGCGGACACGACAGCGTGCGCCGCTTCTCTAAACCGGAGAGTTATTCTTCTGCTTAATATTCGGATTTGCGTGCTTTTTTATTATGATGAAACGTGCGTGGTCGCCTGGAAAAGAGAACACTACAGACAACGGCAAAAACAAAAACAACAAGCCAAAACGGAGGACGGCAACAACACGTAGTGAGACGGAGAGAGAGGAGGGGGGGGGGGGCGAGGGAAAGAGTGGAAAACGACAACGGCAGGGAAAAGAAAAGGCGAAGCAACACCACCGCACGGACGTTGACGTGCGTAGAATAGTATCGCCCATACGCGCGCACGTGCCGCATCGACGAGTCAAATGCCATCCTCGGGGACGGCGCAGCGAGAGGATCCATCACAGGAGATGCCACGACATGAACATACACAAGCAGTAACAGTAATGAAACCAAGAAAAAGGAGAGAGAGAGAGAGAAGAAAACCAAAGCGAAAAGCAAAGGAAGAAATCAAAACAACAAGGTAGAATGCAGCTCAAACAACACACAAAGACTCTTCTCCCTTACGAACCCCTTTACGCTGTTCCTTCCACACCACGCGCGATGGCCGGACGCGACGGCGGCGGTGCGGGCGGCGGCAAATGCGAGATCTGCTCCATCAACTTACTTACCTGCTGCAGCGTCTTTTGCAGCAGCGCCTCCACTGCGCCGCCGCCGCCGCTGCCACTACCGCTGCCGCTGCTGCTCATGACACCGTCGCCATCGCTGCCGTAACCGCGTAGCTTCCCCGCATTCCGCGTCGCCGGCGCAGTCACCGCGGCGGAGTCCGACGTGCTCGAATGAGTCTGGGAGGGCGGCATCGATGATGATGAAGCCGCCGCGCTCTTCTCGGTGCCGCTGCTGCTGCTGCTGCTGCGATGGTCCTCTCCCTCCTCGTCCGCCGGCCAGAGCGGGTTGCTGCGGCCCAGTTGTGAACCCAGCAGCGGCGTCGTGCGCGTTGGCTTCGTCGTCGAGGCCGTCAGCGAGCCTTGAAAGGAAGACACGGGCCGTGGCAGCGATGGCCGCCCACCCCGTGACCCGACCGCACCGAGACTACCCTCCGCAACCGCAACGACGGAGGCTGAGGCGGATGAGGGCGGCAGGAAAGGCGGCATGGGGAGCAGCGGGCTGTGCGTCGAGTGCGCAGAGACGGCGGCGAGCCGTGGGTGCTGCACGGGCGACAGCACCTGCGATGAGGACTGCGCACCGAGCGAGGGACTCACGCGCGGATCCCCACCGGCGGCGCTGTCGGGCCCCGCTCGGGTGACGACGTCGGTGTTGCTGCGGCGTTGTCGTGCGTGCAGCTGCGCCGCTACATCGATCAACGACTGGTGCAGGCGCTTGAGGTGGGCAAAGAGCGGCGCGGCTTCGGGCGAGGCAAGACTGCTGGGTAAGGCAACACCGTGCTCATCCGAGCTGTGACTGTCGTACGGCGCCGGACCCGTCACCTGCTGCAAGCGCTCCACCGTCAAGTACGGCGAGTCTCCGTGCTGCGACGACTGCCGAGAGCTGATAGAGCGAGCCGATTCGAAGGCGGCGCTGCTCAGCGGCGCTTCGTCATACAGGCTGCCCTCTGCGGGTGCCACCGCGACGACCGCATCATCCACAGACGTCGTACCAACGCCGCCGTTGTCGCCTTTCTCACTCCTGCTGCCTTCATGCTCGTTATCGTGGTTCTCGCCGCGGCTCCGGGAGTATGGGCTGTACTCGTTGCTGTTCGACAGGACGGTCCGGCTGCTGCCGGGGGCGATGCTGTTATTGTTATTAGTGCTGTTGCCGAAGCGGTGACGATGCCGCCACGCGTCGCGCGCGGCTGCCGAGAAAGCGAACGTCGAAAAGAGTGGCGCAGGGGCGACGACGGCGACGTTCTGGTTCTGCCGGAAGATCGAAGAGGCGCTTTCGCCCGCCACAGACCCGCCCCTCCCACTGCCAGCGGCGGCACCGTTTGGAAAGCTGGTAGCGCTGACGGGCGCCACCGACGCCGTGGCATTCGCACCGACGACGGAGGAGTTGACGCCGGCGCCGGTGAGGGCAAAGAACGGGGTGCTGGACATTGTGATGGAGCCGTTGCCCAGCAGCGGGATGTCGCGGTCCTCGACGACGAAGAAGGACTGATTTGTGATGGGCGGCCGTGCTCGGGCGGGGCGACGCGCCATAGAGGCGTTCGCACCGACCAACGGCACGTTGATGCTGCGCGGCGACGTGCTCGTCGCTTCACTGTTGCCGGCGGACCCGATCGAGCGGGCGCTGCGCTGCGGCGCGGGTGAGAAGCGCGGCACTTGCGGCGGCGGGGAGTCGTGGCGGGAGCCGGAGTGCGACGCCTTGCCCGCGTCCTCGATGCCCTTCTCTCCCTCCGCCGTTGCCACGGCGTGATCGCCGCTGTTGTGGTGCACGGGCAGCGTCGCCGAGGCGCTGAGGTCCGGCGGTGAGCCCGGCGAGTTGGAGTCCCGACGTGCCGCCGCTGTCGCCGCCGCGCTCTCCATGTGGCTGCTGAGGGGCGGCACGTTGTCGACGTGCGCATCCGCGTCGTGGTGGCTGCTGCTGCTGTGCGTGCTGCCACGCCGTTCCGCCACCAGCGACGACGCAGGTTGTGCGTCGACGCTGAAGATGCTGTTCGAGGTCGGCACGTGGGCGTGTACGATGCTCGTTAGGCTGCCATTACTCGCCGCCGCCAGGTTGTTCAAGAAGTCGTTCGCTGCATTGCTGAGGACCTCCTCGATGTTGGCCCCCATGAAGCTGATGTTCTTGTTGAAGCTGTAGTTGTAGAAGGAGAAGTTGGGTGGGTGGTGCGTGAAGGACACGTTGGTGGCCGGCGGCGGGATTGCCGTGCTGGGGGGGCTGCCGGCGGGGTAGCCGGTGCGGGCCACCGGCGGACTCGCGGCCTGCTCGCCGGACGCACTCATGGGAGAGGCGTCGTCGTGGAGGGATGCTGCCGCTGCTGTTGCGGCGGCGGTTGTCCCGGGCTTTGGGGACGTCACGCCGTGACTGCCTGCCACCCCAGCTTCTCGCCTCTCCGGCGGGAACGGCGCGTTACCGGGGCCGGTGGAGTGCTCAAAGGGAACGATGTTGCCCTCCTCATCCAACGTCACGTTGCGACGACGACCCGTGAAGGTTGGCATCGCACTGGGCAGCAGCGTGGAGGATGGATCGTTGTCGCCGTGGGTGACGGCCGGCGCGACCGTGCCGTGGCCGGGACCGGGATCCCGCTCAGGGGAAACGGAGAGGGGGTTGCTGCTTAGATTTGTGACGACGGCCTCCCCGACAGTCATCGCCGCCACCGTTTTCACGGCCTCGGCACTGCTCAGTGGTGTGCCCACGATGGCTGTTACAGCTGCCGCCTCCGCGACCGGCGTCTTCCCCACGTGTGCTGTCAACTCTTCCGTTGAAACGACGTTGCTGGGGTGACTATTCTCATGGATGCCGTCGTCGCGGCTGCTGCTCTCTGAGGAGGTTGCAAAAAAGGCTGCTTCGTTGCTGTTGGTGGAGGTGCTGCCGCCGCTGCTCTCCCTGCTGCTACGCTGTCGTTGCGGCCGCCGTCGAGAGGAGGCGTGCTTCTCCGCCTTACTCCGCTGTTGCTGCTCGCGCAGCGCGGCAGGACGCGACTGCGTGGTGGAGCGCTTCTTCGGTGTGGGCGACAAGTCGTAGGCGTCGTCGCTCGTCGGCATCCGCGGCTCCGGCTCATCTTCCCCGTCGCCGTCGTCGTCTGCGCCTGCTTGTGGGTCGCGGTGAGGGCCGTGGCGAGGCGGCGTGTGCAGCTCCCCGCCCGTGCCCGCTATCGTTGCCTCGGTCAGGGGAGCTGAATTCATGGAGGGCACCGACGTGGAAGTGGCGTGCAAAGCGCCGCCGTCTTCGTCTTCGTGTACGAATGGATGATCAGAGAGGGACGACGAGGAGGAGGAGTGCCACCGGCGCAAGGTCTTTGAGCCAGTCGTCCCCCCGTCGCGCCGCTTGCTGCTCTGATTTGCGTCGGCATCGTCTCCCACTGCTGCGGGGGTGCCGTCCGCGTTCTTTGATGTCCCATCACTCCCGCCACCGTGGCGGAGGGGTACCGCGGTCGCGCTGCGCAGCTGCGGCGCCTCCACGTCCGAGTCGTCGCCCGCGCCGGTGCTCTTCGGCTTGCCCGCGGCCACGGCGGCCGCGCCCTTTTCGTTCTTGGAGAAGCCCGGCAAGTGGAGGGAGGCAACCGTCGCTGAGAAGGATGACGAGGAGACCCGCTCGCTCGCGGCGCTGGCGCTGCTGCTGAAGAAGTCGGAGCTGCGCCGCCGCACGCGGAACTTGTCGCGTCGCCGCTGCATCTCGTGCACTTCCTCCGGCTCCTGGAAGGCGACGAATTTGCTGAGGACGTGGCGCAGCTGCGCCCGCTTCAGCGCCTTCACGGCGGAGTTGTTGTCGCCGGGCGTCGACTCGCTGAAGAGGCTCATCTGCAGCAGCTCCTGCGCGGTCGCGCGCTGCGCGGGGTCGGGATTCAAGCACGCCGAGACGAACTCCACGACGCACGGCTCGCACTTGAACAGCGGCGATAGGTCAGGCACGTCGGTGAGGGAAGTGATGTAGTTCGTCAGCCCAGCCGGGCCCTTCAGGTCCTTCACGTGCGAGAAGGGTGGCTTCGTCGTGACCATCTCCATCGCAACGCAGCCAAGAGACCAAATATCGCTCGGGAAGCTGTAGCCGATCGGGTGGCCGTCCTCGTCCTCCTCCCCGGCCGACATGCATTCCGGGGACATGTACAACGGACTGCCTTGCATGACGTACAGCAGCTCCCCGTCGTGCACCGTGTGCGCGGTGCCGAAGTCGCCGATCTTGCCCTTGCCCTCTGCACTGAGAAGCACGTTGGCGGTTTTTATGTCGCAGTGTACGTAGTGCTGGGAGTGGATGTACGCGAGGCCCTCCACGACGTCCTGCAGCAGTGCGCGCAGCTCTGTGAACTCTAGCTTGCCTTTTTTCTTCAGCAGCGACTGCAGCGTGCCGCCGCCGGCGAACTCCATAAACACACGCAGCACCCGGTGCTCCTCGCTCTCCTCACAGTAGAAGTAGTGGATGATGTTGGGGTGCTGCAGGTTGCACATTGTACTGATCTCCTGCGCGAACTGCTCGATCTTCGCATCGTTGCCACCCAGCCGCATCTCCTTCACGGCCATTTTCCCGCCCGTCAGGACGTCGAAGGCTTCGTAGACCTCGCCGAAGGAGCCTTTGCCGAGGAGGACACCGCGGCGCCACGCCCCACGGCTGTTGCGCGCCAGCGTCTCGCGCGTCTGCTCAATGCGCATGCGCTCCAGCTTCACCACGGCGGACTTCTCCTCTGCCCGGCGGATCGCCTTCATGGCGAGCACCGGCGTGCACGGCTTCTTCAGCGTAATGAAGCCCGCCGCCTCGTAGGTGTCGCTGCTCGCTAAATCGAAGCTAGTCGAGGTGATGATGACGGCCATGTGGCGCAGCATTTCGCGCAGACGGCTGATCGGGTCCTCGTCGTGCAGCGAGTTGATGACGGACTGCTGCAAGTCGATGATAAGGATATCCGCCACGCCGAACAGCTTGACGACGTCCTCGAACTTGAAGGCGGTCAGCACGGCGTGGCGCCGCTCCCAGAGGAACGACGATATCATAATGCGGTGGGCCGGGGTGTCCTCGGCGAGGCAGGTGGTGTAGCAGAAGCTCGGCTGGTTCGGCCCGGAGGAGCCGTTCATCAGGCCGCTCTCGTCGCCGGGCGTCACCGGGGCAGAGACGCTGCCGATGTCTTCGTTGTGGTCGCCCGGGGGGAGCCGCGCGGCGCCGGGCTGGACGGCTCGTGGCACGGTGGCCGGCAGCCCCGGCGAGGTGGCCGCCCCGGCTGGCAGGTTGGTGAGGGACACCGACCTGCTGGAGGGCTCAATCAACGCGTGCAGCGACTCCGCCACGGAGGCGTTCTCCACGTCGTGGTCGCCGGCGGGCATGAACGGGATGAGGAAGACGATGTTCGCGTCGTCGGGGTTGCGCTGAATGCGCAGCGTGCCGCCCTGATCTTCCACCGCCCGCTGCACGCGGCGCAGCTTTCGGCGCAGCCGCGGTGGCAGCCCGTGTCGCGGCGTCGCGTTGGCGGAGCCGAGGTTGTTCTCCTCCTCCTCATCGCCCTCCTCCTCCGCCTCGTCTCCGCTCGTGTCGTCCTCTGCCGAGGCGCTGTGCTGACCAAAGGAGGTGTCGAAGAAACTCGCGATTTCCTCCGGCAAGCCGTCCCCGGCGAGGTTGAAGTTGATGATCAGAAACTCTAACCCGTTCTTCTCGGCCACGGTGATCATGATGGTCACGACGCCGCCACCGACTTGGCTGAACTTGAGACACAGCAGCATCGCGTAACGCAGGCACTCGGGCAAGAGGTCCGCGTTGAGGTAGGCGCGCTCCGAGGGCAGGCCCTCAAAGCGCTGCCGGACCGAGACGCCACGCGTCACAAAGTCGCTACCGAAGTCCATGAGGACGTGGCCGACCATCTGGCGAATGTTCACAACCCGCAGGCACTCCGTCGAGACCGTCATGGCGCGGTAGGTGGCCTCGAAGTTGTTCAGCGTCTCCGCGATGCACTCCAGGCGCTCCTCGAAGGTCTGCGTGCCATCGGCCAGGATGCTGCGGATCTGCGCGGAGAGCCACTGCGGCTGCTCCAGCATCTTCTGCGGCCCCTGTTTCACCTCCTCGCCAAAGCCGAGCACCACCTCCGCCGCGTCCCCACCCGCCGACACCATCGGCGGCACCACCGTCAGCTCCACCGTCGCGCTGGTCAGTCCGTCGCTGCGGGCGAGGGTGAAGGTGCTCGCCTTCGAGTTTCGCTCCTCCAAAAATGTATCCACGTCCCCGGCGAAGTCGCGTGCTGTGGTGATCGCCTTCAGCATCGAGTGCTGCTCCCGCTCTGCCAGCAAGAAGGAGTAGATGTTCTGCCCGACCACCTCCTCCGCGGAGTAGTTCGTCAGCCGCTCCAGCACGGCGTTCCAGTAAACGATGAGGCCGTCCTCGCGCATCGCCAGCACCGCGACGTCCTTGCCCGTCACCGGGGCAAAGGGGAAGCGCAAGAGGCCCCTCGGCAGACAGGCCGCCTCGTCGAGTCCCTCGGCGGTCGGCGTCATCGTACCGGCGCCGTCGTTCCTCTCGGGCTTGACGCAGGGAGACCCGTCAGGGCCGGGCTTGCCTTCCCCGTGGAGCAGCGCAAGTGGCGCACTCAGCAGTACTTCCCCGTGCGCGTTGACGTCCTCCAGCGTCGCGGACTCGTCCTTCGACGCCACGCGGCGGTGCTCGCGGATGGACTGGATGCGGTGCAGATCACTCCGCACGCTCTCGTCCGCCACGTCGTGCAGGTAGTAGGTCTTGTACGTCGCCGAGGTCGCGACGAACTCCTTCAATCGGTCCTGCACAGGCCCGACGATGAGCTCGAAGTGGTCGCGGCTGATGCAGGCCGTCACGACCGTGGGCGAGGTGACAATGACGTCGGCCACGGTGAGGTGGTGGAACAGAAACTCTAGCTCGCCGACGACGTCGCCGGCGTGCAGCCGCACCACCTCGACGCGGCGACCGTTATTGCGGCCCACCACCTTCACCTCCCCCTCCACGATGAAGTGCATGTAGGTGCCCGCGGCACCAAACTTGATGATGGCCTGCCCCCGCCGGTACTCCCGCGTGACGAGGGCCTCCGCGATTTTCATCCGCTCAAAGTCCGGCATACAGCGCAGGAAGGGGACGCTGAGGGTCAAATTTTCAAACTTCTTGCGCTTCTGCAGGGAGTTGCTCATGACGGCGCGGTGGTAGCTCACCTCGTCAAGGCTGTACAGCACACACCGCGTCACACACCGAATCGTGGCGGCACACTTCGCCTGCTTGTACATCAGCTCCAACTCCCCAAAGGTGCCCCCCGACTGCAGCGAGCCCATCGACTTGCCGTTCTTGATCGCCTCGCAAGCCCCCTCGCCCACGAGGTACATCTTCTCCGTTGAGTCCTGCCCCTGCTCGAGAATGGCGGTGCCGGCGGCGTGTACCTCCTTCTCCATTGCCCGCACCACGTCCTCGAGCACATCGGCTTCGAGGTTCGCAAAGGTGTGGCAGCGCCGCACCAGACTCCGCAGCTGCTGCTCCTCGGCCGGCGTCTTCGCGATCACACGCAGCGGCGGTGGCGGCTGCGCCGACGGGGGTACGTTTGCATCGCCCACGCTGTCGTCCAGCAGACCGGGCGGTGCCTCGCACGGGGCTGCGGAGACGGCGACACGGCGCCCCTCCCCGCGCACGGCGGTGGGCAGCACAGGGACTTCGTGCTGCAGCGGATCCACGCACAGGGCGGCCGTCGTGGACTCGCTCAGCTGCGACGTCCGCGTTGCCGTCAAGGACGAGGAGGTCTCGTCGTGTGACTTGTGCTTCGACATGCGCCGGCTGTCCGGGTCCTGCGCCAGGTGCGACGACTGAGAGTTGTACGACACCTCCATCGGTCCTCCCCCGCCGGGCGTCGACCGGGTGTGCCCTGCCGCGTCCTCCGACGCCAGGAGGTGCGAGGAGGGGGAGTGGTTCACGTCCGTCGCGCGGCGGTGCGAGCGCAGAAAGGAAAAGCCAGCGAGCGTCTCGAAGTTGGCGGCGTCGTGGCGGGACATGGCGCTGGAGCGACGGCTCTGCTTCGTGCTGAGCAGCGCCGACGCCGCGGTGCTGTGAGATGCGTTCGTCATGGTCGGCGACATCCGCGACGACTCCGTCCACGTGGTGGAGCTGACCTCGGCGAGAGAGTGAGCGCCGCCCTCCTGCTGCGCCTCCAACGTCCGTGCGATGCGCACCAGCGTGTCCTCCGCGTCGACGTTGCGGAGCAGGTGCATGATGTGCTCCCGCAGCACGTTTGTGTTCTCCGCCGGCTTCAGCAGACTCGTGAACTCGGCTAAGGCGATGGAGCCGTTCGTGAGGAAGGGCTCCGCCTCCGGCTCCACCGCCGCCGCCGAGACCTCTCTCGCACTCCCCCCACCGCTTTGCGAGTTGGTGTTCGTGTTGGTGTTGGTCTCCAGGGAGGGGGAGCTGTGCACGTGTGGGGTGGTCACCGATACGACCGCTGCGATGGGGTGCAGCGCAGAAATGGAGAGGGAGCCGGGGGTGGACGTGGAGGAGAAGGTGCCGTGCGAGGGGACGACGGCAGGAGTGATGGTCACCGCGGCGGGGCTGGGGCTCGAGACACAGGTGACGGCAGGAACGGGCATCGGCGGCAGCGCCGGCCCGGCCGTACGTCGCGGCGTCGCCGACGCAGGATTCGTGACGGTCGCTGCATCGTTGTCGAGAAGGATGGGCGAGTCCGCCGCGCGGACATCGGGGTGTGCGAGCGGCGGCTCCTCCTCCGTCGCGGGAGAGCTCTCCTCTCTGGTGCTGGCGGGTGACGCGGTGAGCGTCCTTTGGGATTGGCTGCTATTAGAATCCATGCTTTTTTTTTTATTTGGCGTTCTCTCCTCGTAGGAGGAATTATGTTCTTAACGCTGTCGCGGTGTTCGAGATGGCTGCTGACGTTCTTGACAGCGTTCGAGCTGTACAACTTGAAAAAAGAAAGAAACAAGAAAGAAAGGAGGCCTCTTTGTTTGGTTTGGATGTCTTCGTTACGCGGTGTCGCCGATCGCAGAGACCAACAATTCGGCAGGAAAAGAAGATAACCTGAAAGAAGGACGTGCTGGAAGCTTAAGAAAGAAGCGCAACCAAGGTGATGAGGCACGATGCTGCGAAGTTCAGCAGGAGTACAGAGGAGGAGGAAACCCACGAGCAGCAAGCTCCTCGCACTCAATGGACGGGGAATATAGAAAGAGAAAAGAAAACGGAAAGAGAGAAAGAGAGAGCTCTAACGACTCCGGTTTTGATTCAGCTCCCGTAACTACAACCAAAGAAAAATCGGCTGCTACAAATCATACAACAACAACGGCAAAGAAACAAAGAAACTCCGGCCTGTGAGCCACGAATTGCACGTACGGCTTTCTTCCTCCCTTTTCCCCGCTGGCGACGTTGCGCAGTGGGAATACGCGGTCACGCAGCACCGGGAATAATACTAATAAAGAGAGATCCAAAACAGAACAAACGCGAGATTCTACTAAAGAAGAAAAAAAGGAAGGTTCATACAAGCCAAAGAAAGACGCGGGCGCCGCGTGTAGCAAAGATACGGCGGTGTTACGCACGCAGTGAAAAAAAAAAAAACAGATCGATTGGTCGACCTAAGAATGCCCTCCAGCAACAACACAGAATGACTGCAAAAGATACCTCCCCCACCTCCCTCAGAATGTGTGTGTGTGTGTGTGTGTGACGCAACACTCCGGTTCAAATGCAGAGCTGTGCTGCCTGCGTGGGTCGGAGTGTCGGCTCTGTGATACAGAGGGAAAGAAAGGAAAAAATAAAACAGCGCGCGGAAACGTTCGGTATGCGCCACGGGAGGAACAGGAGCGGCAACAGGAAGGGGAGACCCTCAGCACACGTGGAATGTGGGTTGAGGAAGAAGAAGAAAAAAAAAACGGAAGTAGTAATATATATATATATATATAATATACAGTCTTGATACACAAAAGAAGATTGGGCTGCGTGCTGCGCGGTGTCACACTCCACCCCACTCTAACGTCTTGTACAGCTCGTTGTACTCACACGGAGAGGATCAGTTTTCTCCTTCCAGCTGTTGCTGCGGTCCAGCAAGGGCGGGAGAAAAAAAGCAAACAGCCCAACGAATCAAAACAAACAACAAAAAAATGACGAAGAAGGCCGTCCACCGCTGCAGTGGAAAGAGAGCGATGTATATAAAAGCTGTTCTTTGGCTTTTTCCTCCTTGAGGTGATTGACGTGTACGGATCGCGTGTGGATGACAAACACGCGTGTGTGCATGTGTGTGTGCAGCGACTAGCAAGAGGAGAAAGAGGCGAGACGAGGCGTTTTTGGTGTTCACTCCGAAAACAAGTTTTGTAGAAGCAACCGCGTTCAGCGTTGCCGGCACCCAAAGTTTTCTTTTCGCATGTTTGCTCCGACGAGCACCGCGACGTCATCAAAGAAACACACCGACTGAAGCATCACAAAGGTGCGGACAACACACCTCATGGAAACCGTTCTTGCTTCGTCATTTTTCCCTGGAACGAGAAAACAAACAAACAAACCAGAGGCTTCACATGACCGGCCTTCCTCCCCACTCTGCTGCGTGTGGTTACACACACACACACACGGAAAGGTGCCGCCGGGCAACACAGATTCGCCGACGGGGACACGGATGTGGGCTGCACAACGAACGTGCCGCCAACGAGGCACGACGTCGACTATCCATCCTCTTTCCAGTTTTTCTTCTTTTTAGGATTTGAAATAGAAAAATCATAAAATGTAAAACAATAATACGAATCGCGAGCTTAGGACGGTACGCGCAGCTGAGAAATGGAAGAACAAGAGTGCGAGTGCGTAGCGTCGTGTTGCACACGAAGAGCTTTCCAAGCACGCGGCCCTGTACGCGCTTTGCCATGCTACGCTCTTCTCTTTCCCTAAAGTCGCTGAGGAAAACGTGTGCGACCGCAGCACAGTAGTGAAGGAAGAAACGACGCGAGACACGGATAAACGCCGGTGAAGGACGGACCAAACGAGGAACCAAAAAGCAGAGGAGAACCCAACTGCACATACCGATCGGGTTGCAGCTGGCTCATCGCCGTCTCTACTTGAGGGTTTGCCTTCGCGTTTTCGGCAGCTTACGCGTGCAGTAGGCCAAGTGCAGGTCTTCTGTACCCATAAATTGGAGTCGCTGATTATCCAGCTTAGTCGAACAGACCGAAGCCCATGTCGTCGTCGCCCTCCTCCTCGATCTTCTCCTCCTTCTTCGCGGCAGCGGCGGGGGCGGCAGCAGCACCCGCAGCAGGCGCCGCAGCACCCGCGGGTGCGCCGGAGGACGCGGACGCCATGGAGGTCATCTTCGCGGCACCCTCGTTGATCAGCGTGGCCACGTCGCGGCCCGCAACGCTCTCCATCACGAAGGCGAGGGTGTCGGCCTCGATCTCGATGTTGACGGCCTTGCAGATGGCCTCGACATCTGCCTGGGTGGGGGCGGGCTTGCTCAACGAGGCAAGGGCGTACGCGGCGAGGTACTTGGTGGACATGGTGAATGGCAGGGAAACAGGGTCAGGAAAGCTGCGTACGTGCGAAGCGTAAAAACCAACAACAGCGGTGTTCGCACGAAAGGAAGCGTGCGGCAGGGTGTGAAGGTGTGCAAAGCAGAAAGCCGAACAGAATAGAAATCAAACGGTGAAGGCGGAAGGCAATACGGAGTGAAGAGAGAGGGAGAGAGAGATACAGGAAAAAAGGGGGCGCATGCGCGGAGGTCGAAGCGAAAGAGGAGTTCCTACCGCGGTGAACACCACAGCATGTGGGGTGCTGAGCCGCTCACGTCCTTCATAGTTCAGAAACAAAAGACGGACTTGGACAGCCGATGCTTCTCCCCAGAGGCTTTTAACGTGTTCACCAAACACGAAGGTATTTCACGCTTACCATCTTCATCGTTCCTGTCCTACGGCGATCCGAGTTGGACGCAGATAATGCGCAGGAGCACAGGCATTCACCCTTATCTTGTTTTTAATTATTATTTCCACCACGGCACGCACCACTCTTGCTCGGTGCTCAGAGTGAACCCGCCACTAAGTCTTTCTTCATCACTTACGAATACTGGTTTGGTTTCCCTTTCTTGATATTCATTAGTTAGCCCAATTTCATCACACAGAGAGAAAGCGACAGAGGAACAAACGCACAGCACGAGACAGCAACAACAACAACAGCTAAAGAGGAATAGCGAAAGGAGAAGATCCACCTACCCCAACCGCCCCATGAAGCCTCCACTGCTTTCGTTGCTTCTCTTCCAACCTTCACCCATGAGCTTTCCCCACAGGAGGTGCGTGACGCCACCCACCGTCTTTTCAAGTACGCGCGTTCATAATAGTAACAATAGTAATCATAAGCTCATGTACGAGGCACCCACGCCGACACGCACGCGCACTTTGGGAACTACGGATGGAAGAAGGGACACACCTTGCGGCGACGGCACAGGGAGAGGGGGAGGGGGAAGAACACAAATGGAGAGATGAGGAAAAGAAAGACAGGAGGCCCCCGCTCGTCATAGGCGCCGTCGCCTTCCTCACTACAACCACGCCTCCTACAGTTCCTCTTCTCTGCTGTTGTTGAAGCTGCTGCGGTTGTTGTCATTTTTTTCCCTTTTCACAGGTTTAGTCGAACAGACCGAAGCCCATGTCGTCGTCGCCCTCCTCCTCGATCTTCTCCTCCTTCTTCGCGGCAGCGGCGGGGGCGGCAGCAGCACCCGCAGCAGGCGCCGCAGCACCCGCGGGTGCGCCGGAGGACGCGGACGCCATGGAGGTCATCTTCGCGGCACCCTCGTTGATCAGCGTGGCCACGTCGCGGCCCGCAACGCTCTCCATCACGAAGGCGAGGGTGTCGGCCTCGATCTCGATGTTGACGGCCTTGCAGATGGCCTCGACATCTGCCTGGGTGGGGGCGGGCTTGCTCAACGAGGCAAGGGCGTACGCGGCGAGGTACTTGGTGGACATGGTGAAATTCGCTGGAGGATTAAGAGAAGAACAGAAAAAAAAGGAAGGCTATTGTGAACAAGATAACTGAATGACAGCGAAACGCGGGAGAGCGAGACAGGTATATATATATAACAAGTTGCGGAAGGCGGTCGAAAGATGCACGAGGAGCGAGAAGATGAGCAGGAAGGTACGACTCTGAACGTGTTGCGCGCGGGAGGAGGCGAGGTCGGGGAAACACATCCGAACCGAGCGATTTCAAGAGGGACTACCGTGGGAAGCACAACAACAACAATAGTAATAATAATTAAAAGGGAGTAAAAACCACACATACACCAATTCATTTGGAACGGTTGTACAGACAAATACAAGAAATGCCCTGAGGATTCGCGGGGTTTTTTTTTTTCAGGACATCATCTGCGCACGCCGTGGGCGTTGGTACTTCTTTTTCCTTTTCTTTCGGATCACTCGAATGGGACGTCAACCTCTGTATCGAAAGGCGCGCTGCCCACAGCATTTGTGGACCGATGAAACGCCCGAGTTTCTCCTTCATTTCGAAGTAGTTTTAGGCCTTTTACTTTTGTTTGGATAGCAAAAAAACAACAACAACGACGACGACAAAGAGGAATACGTCAAAGCGAGAGGCGACCGCACCACAACGGTGGCGGTGCCTACCTGCACTGCAAAGCACAAGTTCTTGTCTCTTTCTTGTTGCTGACCTCCATAGCAAGAAAGACAAGCGCTAAGAATAAACCTCTTCTTGACGGGTGCAACGCCAACCTCAACAGACTTGAGGATGAATCAAATGATATGTATATTAATGCAGCAGTTCAGATAGGAAAACATGAATCCCAAGGAGAGACACAAAGGTGAGGAGGTCGGATACCGGACAACACAAACAGACAAACGACGGCACACAAACACACACACACACACACACACACCGCCGCCGCCGCAGTGGACTCCCCCACACCATCAGCGAAAGAAGTGAACAACATCTTTGCTACTCCACGCCAGCTAGCGCATTCGGCGGGGTGCTCAAGAAGTACTCCACCAACGAAAACGCATCGTCGCTCTCCTGCTGCAGTTGCTGACGCAGTTGCTGATCTACTCCACCGCCTTGCTGGAGCCTCGCCCGCAGGGACCCCTGCACCTCCATCGGCCGCACCATCAGAATGGGGCTGAAGGCGTGGGCAAGGAAGGCCGCGTCGAGCTCGTTGTCGCGGCTGAAGGCGGGCCGCAGAAGGTAGTTCAGCAGCGACAACACGTAGAGCCACACATTGGCGTGCATCGTGGGCAGCTGTCGCAGAAACGCGAGCGGAGCTTTGCCTCTTGCCCTGCCGGCGGCGAGGGCGGCGGCGTACAGGTTATACGGCACCACCGGCTCAATTAAGTTCTTCAAGAAAATCATCAGGCACTCCGCGGCGCAGTGCACGTCGGTGTCCGGCGGCAACGGGGCGTTCCTGCTGTCCAGCTGCTCCATAATCTGATTACACGTTTCCTTGTCGATGGAGGTGGTGAAGAGGCCCGGCTCGCGTGGATGCTGTGCAACGACGTGCGCCAGGTACCACAGCTCCTTCGGCACGTGCGGCCGCACTCGGCGCACCACCTCCTCGAAGTCCGCCTTCTGCGCGTAGGCCTCTATGCACGGGACGTCCTGCAAGAGAGCCACGCTGTCCAGGCCGTTCCCGAACACGCTGGGGCTGAGCACCGCGTGACACTCCACCGCCTGCACCGGACCATTGCGGCAGCAAAAGAGCAGCACGGAGCTGAGCGCAACGCGGCCACGGCCCAGGTAGGGCCGCCACGCCGCCAGCCAGAGCATACAACGCGGGTCGATGACCGTCTCGACGGTGACCTCCTGCGATTCGCCCGGGAGGATCGCCATCTCCTGCGGCGTCACCCGCAGCCACGAGCCTTCGGAGGGGTCGCCGTCACGTTGACGCACGACGCGCACCACGGCGACGCAGTCCCCGACGTTCTGCACCGTGACGGTCTCCTGTATTCCGCACTGGTGGAAGCTCAGCGCCTGGAAGTTCAGCTTCGCATTGTGCAATGCGATCTTAGCGCTGATCGCCTGGGCAAGACCGAGCGAGGCGACCTTCTCGCGCAGGGCCGCCATCACCTGCGCCTTCTGTGAGGGTACCTCGACGCTGATCGGCACCCGCAGCAGCGCTTGCACGGGCTTGTGATCGCTGCTGCGCACGTCCATTAGCGCCGCCAGGCCGTCCAGGTGAATGCGAGACTCCATCGACTTGCGGCGCGACCACACACAGACGCGATCCGTGAAGCTGGGGATGCGCCGCTTCTCGCTGGTGTCGTAGGTGTCGGTGCCGATGTCAAAGCGATACGTCGGCGCGTGGTTCGGTGCAAACGCAATAAAGTTCTGCCACGGCGTGTGCGGGTTCTTCAGCTCGTTCGTCAGCTGGTCGTACTGCAGCAGCTCCACCGTGCGGTTCGCACTCGCCAACTGCACCGCCGTCTCGTACGGCAGCGTGAGGCGGTAGTTCAGGTCCCCGGCGACGATGACCAAATCGTGATCACGCGGATACAGCTCGGAAAACACCGACGGATCGATGGAGACGTTGGCGCTCGCGTTTATTTGCACCTCAGCCCGGCGCGCCGCGTTGAAGTCCATACTCTTCAAGACGGTGTTGATGTCCTCGTTGCGCTTGCTCACGTTCAGCTGTCCCGCCGCGAGGTGGGCCGCAATGACGCAGATCGAGGTGCGGTGCAGGACAAGGTGCAGCCCCACCGCGCCTTTATTTCCCATGGAGCCGAGCGTGCCCGTCGCCACCGTCGAGATGGCAAACTCCGACACCGCCGGCAGCAGCGGGCGCCGCAGAAAGACGCAGAGGAGAAGACCGACGAGCTGCTTCGGCGGGAAGGCGTAGTACGCGGTGGAGGACGAGCCACCGTTGCCGTCGGCGCCCACCGCTGCGTTCAGTCCCTGCACCCACGGCGTGGCGGCTTCGGTCTCGTGCTTGAAGAGCGCGGTGGCGCTCATATCTACTTCTTGCATCGCCACCACAATAAGATCGGTCGGCCGCGACGGGCCTTCCGGTGGTCCGCTGGTCAGCGCCACAAGGCTTGACAGCGGCAGGATCGGCTTCTTACAGCCAACGTTGAACGTGGTGACGCACACCGTCAGCTCCTCCACGGTCGTGTAGTTCGCTTCGTAGTACGTGATCTCCTGCTGCACCCACGTATCCACAGCGACGGCGGGGTTTGAGTTGGGACTCGCCATGGGGTTGGCCTGCGTGAACCCGAAAGGGGTGCGACGACGGAAGATGTCCTCGACGCTCTGCCACTCCGCATCCGGGAACGCGCGTGGGAGTCCGGCGAACATGCTTTTCTTCTTGCACAAAGGAGAGAGAGAGCGAGAGGAGGGAGGGAGAAGGCGCTCTATAAGAAGGCGCGTCTCGGCGAATCAAAACAGCAAAGAAACGGAAGACAGCGCACCCGCACACGCACACACCCAGAGCAAACGGACGACAGAATGCAAGGCAGGAACAACCAAAAAAAGTACGTGCGCTTGACGATTCTCGATACCTCGAAATCGCGTGCCGGCAGTGTGAAGGTCGAGGCGGAGGCGCACCGCTTCTGTAATCCGAGCTGGTGCGCGGGGAAACAAACAACAACAATAAAAGCGCGATATGGAGAGGAGAGGAGAGGAGGGGGACGGGAACGAATGCAGTTACACACACCCAACACAGGACAGCGACGAAGCGACAGTTGCCATGCGGAGATTCAAAGGAAGCCACCTCACAAGGAGCAGATAAACTCACAGTAAGATACGAACTATCGACAACGATTTGATGGCGGAGGATATATAGGGAAAAAGACATCTCCCGGAGTTGCGCGTGCGACATCGCTCATCGCGTGGAGGCTGGTCGAGCGAATTGGCTCGCTGCGCTTTTCTCGCCAGGGCGACGCCCATGCGCGTGCAGCTGCGCACCCCGTACCAAGGAAAAGGCTGCCGCAAAGCGCATCCTCCCTTATACCTGTATAGGGTGTGTATGTGCATGTGCATGTCTGCATGGGGATAGTTTCGCTTCGTTTCGTTTGTTGTCAGTGGAAGCAGCCTCGGTGCGCCGCCCAAACTGAAGTGTGCGCGGGCGATCAGCATGCAGCAAGCATCAACGTTGTACACCGAACCGTACAACGCAGGAGCAACAAACTCCTCCAAAAAAAGAAAGGAAAGACAAACCAGTATCCACAATGAGAACAGCATGATAGATGTAATTGGAAGGCGCGTGGAAGGGGTCGCAAATACTTCCTCCCCCCCCCTCTCTCTCCCCACCTTCCATCACTTCGCTGCGGCCTTCTTCTTCTTCTTCGCTGCGGCGTCACCGCCGCTGCCGGCCGTGTAGTTCGCGTTCCCTTGCGCGTCCACCTTGTGCCAACTCGGTGCAGGACCGTAGTGTGGCTGCAGAGACAACACCTTCTCCTTTGGCGGCGGGCGCTCCGCCTGCACATCGCCGGCCCCAAGCGCCGCCGCGACCGTCTCCACCTGCGACGGCGTGAGCGCAGCCGGGAAGACGATATCGACACAGACGTACAGCTTCCCTTTCTTGAGGTCGGCGGTGCTGCTACGATTCGTGTCCGCGCTAGACGCGGCGGCGGCGGCAGCGGGGCCATCGCGTGGCAGCTTCACTGGCATCCCTTCGTTCTCCACCACAAAGACGTGCTGTGCGTCAAACACAAAGCGCGGCACGCCGCCCTCTCGCAGCGGCGGCGCCAGCCGCACCACTCGGCCGTCCAGCAACTCAATGGGAATCGCGAAGGAGTCCTGGAAGAGGCGCCACAGCGGGACCCGGCAGTTCGACAGGAAAAGGTCGGTGTTATTCAGCCGGCGATAGCAGGGGTGCGGGAGCTGCTCCAGCACGACAAGGATATCCCCCACCGCGTCAAAGCCGGGCAGTTCATCGCCCTGCTCCGTAAAGCTTATCGCGTCGCTGTCCTCCGTGCCGGGAGCGATGGCCACCTTTATCTTCTTATGCTCCAGCACCGTGCCGCGCGGCAGGGGCTCCTTTGCGCTGCCCAGCGCCTGGGCCCGGGCGTGGGCCGCGAACACCGGCCCGCACCTCGGACACGCCGCCGCCACCGCCATCTCACCGCAGCCTTGGCAATACTCGCAGCGGACCTGCTGAAAGGTCATGATACTGCCAAAGCCGACCATGCGATTCATCGTCTTATTACCTTTGCACTGGGGACACACCGGCACAGGCTGACCATTCGCGGTGCCGTGACCGTGGCACGTGGCGCACGTGCGTCGTCGTGCTACTTGCACAATCTTCGTCGTCCCACAGTAGAGCTCTTCTAGCGAACACTGCAGCTCCACCAAGACAAACGGCGGTTTTTGTGGACGCTGCTGACGCTGCTGCTGCGGGCCACCACCAAAGCCGAAGAAATGAGAGAAAATATCCATCGGGTCCATCTGAGGGCCAAAGCCGCCTGTAAAACCGCCGGGGAAGCCGCCACCCGGAAAGCCGCCACCGCCACCCGGCCCGCTGCGGCCAAAAGCGTCGTACTGCTTTCTCCGCTCTGCATCGCTTAATACCTCGTAGGCCTCTGCGACCTTCTTGAACTTCTCCGCGGCCGCCGCGTCGCCGTTGTTCTTATCGGGGTGGAACTTGAGTGCCATGCTGCGGTAGGCGGTGCGGATCTGCTGCTCGGTGGCATCCGGCGCGATGCCGAGCTCGTCGTAGAGGCCTGTTTCTTTCACCATTGCGATCTCGCCTACTTCTTTTGCTTTTTCGTTTCCTTTTCGATTTTCCACGATCAGAAGTTGTTGTGGTGGTGGTGGATGTCGTGTCCGCGCGATAGAAAGAGAAGCGGTGAGAGAGAGAGAGAGAGCCAGAGAAGGCAGATCCATGCAAACGTAAGGTTCGTGCGGCGCCAACACGTCTCCACCTCGTGGAGTACAACTAAATGATTGGCGCCTTTTGGAGACGAATTCTTTCTTGCGTCATCGACGACCGAGCGAACACCTAAGGAGCCACGGTCTGCCATGACACGACACGACGGTCAAACAGGCCAAGCAGAACGGGGACGAGGAGCAGGGCCGCCCTACGTGGAAACCGGAAAGAGGCGTCGTCGCTCCCATGCATGCCCTTCTCCACCCCAGGAGAAGCTCGAAGGGTGTCCGCACAGGTTCTTCAACAGTACGGCACGCATGTTGCTTCTTCTGTCTTCATAGTTTTCTTTTATTACTTCCTGCTTGAGAGCACGCGAATCCGCAATTCATAGGAGAAGCTGGGGGGACGCTAACGCTTTACAGCACAATGAGCAAGTTTTCCCTTTTGCGTGGTTATAAGTCAGCTTTACCGCAGAAGAGATGGGGAAAAGGTCCGTAGACGGAAAGACACAAACCGAAGTTCAAGAACCGGAAAGAAAGAAAGAAAAGAAAGAGGAGAGTAATCGAAGAAGAAATAATAATAATAATAGTAAGGTAACGTTAAGCATCAACGACAGTAACGAGACGGAAGAAATATATATATAAATGATAGAAACTAAATGAAATATACTTGATGCCGTGCATTCAAAAATGAAAGCAACAGTGTGAGCGGCGTGCCCGCTTCCTTCTCTCTCCTCTCCCTCCCCTCCTCTTCCTCTCGCTCACCGTGACAGCGAAAGTACGCGCGAGAGATCACACAGTCACTGTGGCAGGCTCAGATAGGGGCAGATCCAAGGACGGGTACGATCGCAAGGAAGTGATAAGACAAAAGAAAACAAAAAAAAACAAGAGCAACAATCAGAATGAAGGAGCGTCGTGTAGTGACGCAAAAGGGAGAACGATCAGATCAGGACGAGGCTCTCCCCCAAAAAAGAACCCTTTCCCGCGTTCTCTGCTCCACGACGCGTTCTCCTTCTTTCCATCGCTCGAGTCCGCCTTCGTCCGCGACGCCCCGAACAGTCCACCATCAACGAGGCTTTTGCTGCCGCTCTTCTCCCGCCTGTGTGCTTCTTTCCCAGGTCGATTCCGCAGAATGACAATGAACAACGCGACCATCAACAGGCTGGGGAACACCAAAGCGGAGGCAGCGACAACGTGCGTGCGGAAGAGACGACAGCAATAATAGAAATAATAATGAAAGTATTAACGAGAAGAGTAGTTTATTGAGTTAGTTTATGCGCGTTTCCTGCTCAACAAAGAAACAATGTACGCGTGTGTCGTATCTGCGGTGTTTCCCTCCGTGCTTGCTCGCGGGTGCGTGTGTCGAGGAGTGCCATGATTCAACGTATACACCTCCCCACCTCCCCACCTCCCCCTCACACACACCCACACAAACTCTATCAAACGAGCCATGAAACAAACACGTATGCATCCACTTGTCACCGCTGACCCCCCCGGTGAATGCGCCACAAAAATGCAGACGCGGACCCGCACAGGATTATTATTTACATTAATATATATTTTGGCATTTGAAGATCAACTCTTCAAATAATAAGAGTAAAAGGCTCTCAAAATGGTAATACATAATAAACCCGGTAGGAAAGAAATAATACGGGTACACAGGTTGAAGTACGCATCGTACATACATGTGCATAGTTACAGAAGTATGATTGAACCGCATCTGCACCAGGAAACCCCGATGGGTAGATGTGTCTGAATTAGGATGGAAAGGGAGGTGGGTTTTTTTTTTTGCCTTCCTTAAAGAGGGAATATACATAGAGAAACGAGGAGCTCCTACATGTATTCTCAAATGAGCACTACGTCTTCGACAAAGCATGCCAGCAATCACCAACAAACGGTCACTTTATTTTTCCTTTCTCTCTTCTCTTGTGCGCTTTGCTTTCATTACGCCACTAATAACAGCACAAAAGGAAAAGGAAGGACATTCGAGTACGGCCTGTTCGACGCAAACAATAATAACAGTAAAAGCGCTGACGCAGACGTCATGAACCTTCCATCTCGCTGCTTGGAGTTTCGGAGAACTTGCCCGGCAGCCCAGAAGTCGTGTCAACACAAAAGAAGGAGGAAAATAGGAAAAGGAAAGGTTACTACACAGACAGTACATGAAAAAGGAAAAGACGTTGGCTTTCGATTACCCGCAGCAACGCGACCCTCGCGCGGTGCAACGCTGTCTGTGGAAACAATAGCGCCAACACAGAGGAGGTCTTTCGATTCTCCGCGGATCAAGTGAAATTTTCCTCCCTCTTTCTGATTTTTCACCACGCTGTGCCAGCTGTCCTCTTCGAAAGATAAAACACTTAAGAAAAACAATTTTTAAAGGTCAACGGAAAGCAAAAAAAGGAAGCAAGAAGAAAACGCTGTTGCCAGTAAAACCCGAAAAACATCAAGTGGATGTTCGTGTCGTGCGGCTTCAACTTTCTGATTACGCTCTTCCTTTTTCCAAACATCGCGACGGGCATGTTCCCGGACTCAAAGTGGTTTGCGACCGTCGCCGTTTTTCTCTTCAACTGCTGTGATGTGATGGGGCGCTGGTCGCCGTCGCTGAAGTTCATGTGGCCGCGGAGCTACGGTGGGCGATGGATCATCGTGGCAGCGTCCTTTGCTCGCGTCATCTTCGTGCCGCTGCTGCTGCTCTACTCCTACCACTACATCCCGAGTGAGGCGTACGGCTATGTGACGGAGGTCATCTTCGGATTTTCCAACGGCTACGTCGGCTCCATGTCGCTCGTGCTGGGTCCTCAGTCAAAGGGCATCGACAACGATGGCAAGCGCGTCGTGGCGGGTACGCTGATGGGCATTTCGATCCTCATTGGCGGCACGATCGGCACGGTGCTGAGCATCATGACCCAGACGGTTCGCGAGAAATACTAAAAATGCCTCGCAGCACACGAGACGCGTGGGAGCACTTCGTATTATCGAGATCGACGGCGCCCAGCCCTCTCCGCAGCTCAGTGAGTTGCGGATGGAATCCGCGATGATGATGAAGGAGGACCCGATCGGGGATCAGCCCGTCAACGACCTGGACGCCATGGAGACGAGCCTGCAAGCCGCGGAGGTGGCGGCAGCGACGGATCGTGGCCTGACGAGCAACGAGGTGCTGCGCGCCACCGCCGTCGTCGACACCTTTTTACCTCCACCATGATGGGTGGTGTCGGTATCTCCGGTGTGATTACCTCTCTCATTCAAATCATCGTGAAGGCGGCGCTGCCGGACAACTACGAAGGCGTGAAGAAGCAGTCCTACATCTATTACAGCCTGGATGTGGGCATTCAGGCGACGACCTTTGTGGCCCTCGTCATGCTCCGCTTCAACAGCTTTGCTCGTCTGCACTTTGGTGACCTGGGTGGTGTCAAGAGCAAGGTGGACGCGGGCAGCCTCGCCGGTGAGCTCCGGCACGACAGCGCCATGAAGCTGGGAGGGAAGGCGCTGAACATGCCGTAGACCGTGGACTCGAAGATACTCTTGCCGAAGCCGCCAATGAAGCCGGCCATGCAGATCGTAGCCACCGCACCGCCTTCGTTCGTGCCGCGAGCCGGAACCGCCATCAGCACGATAATCTCGAGAATAAGAATGCATAAGCCGCCAAGCAGACGCACCAGCATCGGGATACGGCGGAAGCCCTTCAGCAGCGTCAGCGGCTCCATCACCAAGCACGTGACCAGGCCGATCAGGTTATAGTAGGTCAGCACATTAGACCAGAAGTTTGTCATGGCCGGCACAAAATCTGGGTCTTTAGTGGCAAAGCGGTAGTACGTCAACATGTACGACGGTGCAGAGAAGACGGCGTTGATCGGCATCAGCATGGAGATGCCGCACAGGAAGGCCACCACGTAGACGTAGAATTCAGCGGCGCTCATCTGGTACCACGGGCGCGGCGGCGGCGGCGGCGCAGCGGACTGATCGGGAATGACCGTCTCAGACTTCATGGCTATCCTGCTGTAGTCGATGCTTTTTCAGCGGGGAAGTACGTCGGTGCGTTCGCGTAGCGAAGAGCAGAAAAAAGGCGCTGCGGAGTCTTGTCGTTATCCTTCCTATATGGATTGTATCGATGCAGACGCATCAAGAGGTGAAGGAGGGGGGGGGGTAGGGGGAGAGGAAGAGAGAGGGGAGGAGAAGGACGGGAAGTACAAAGAAAAAAGACAGACCAACAAAGAGACACAAAGGAGCTAACACGCGCACCGCCGTCAGGTTTCAGCGGGGAAGGAGAGGCTGGACGCTGATGCACCACGGCGCAGTGCGGATGACGTTGGGTCTAGTGTGGTACGTCAAAGCTGTACCGAACGAGTCTTTTACGTGTTGGGAGCTGCCAGCCAAACTCACGATGCTTCAGAAAAACAAAAATGAAAACAAAAAGAAGAAAAGGACTCGAAGAAGCCTAACAGAAGTCGCTTTGAGCACCAACGGACAAAAGTTGATGTAGAAAAAAGTTTTCCATTTCCAACCCCGGGGGCACCGAGTGCTCGTTATCCCACGCCGATGCACATGCAGCTGCCAGCAGACCTGGCAAATTTGAGCTCCGCGTACGAAAGCCGCACGGACAGGCCACATCCGCACTATCAACAACATTAGAAGCTAAAGAGAAGAGAGAAAATGAAGAAGAGGCCAATGTGGTCAGCGAACGTCCACAACAGAATACACGAAATAATAATAATAATAGAACTTCGAAAAGTTTGCTGCAATGGCTTCCGCGCGATAAAGTGCAGGGAGTCCAAAAGAAATAAAAAGAGCAGAACCCAACAGGTAATTATCACAGTGGGGTGTGTGAATCACGCGCTTGGGGCGCAACACACACACACACACATACAGTCTCACAGCCACTGTGAAGATACGAAAGATGAGAAAAGACACCTACCTAACAGGTGCTTCTTTCTCATGTGTGTCTGGTGCTATGATTTAACTACAGTTTTCAACTATATACATGCACGCGTGTACGCACCTCTTTCACAGCTTCATTAAGAAACAAACAAACCAAGGGGAGTTCAACGACGGAAAAGAAAAGGAAGAGAAGACGATGACATTTGTATGGGAAGATAATCGCTTAAACAAAAGAGAGAGGGAGGGTTCGACAGAAGATACCGGGTCACGTGACCCGCGTCGCTGACCTACACAGCTGCAATGGAAATAATAAATGACAGACGCCGAGCGCAGTGGGAAGAAAGAGAAAGAAAGAGAAGTACAATAGAGGTGAGCCTCAGCTTACCACCAGGTGGTGGTAGTGACGGTTTACAACACGAAAAGAACAGAAAGATTTCAAATATATAAATATGTCAGCGCTTCGTTCCGTGGAGCTTGACATACTATACTATACATATACATTTATATAAGCTGAATACAGTGCAACCACCACAAACAAGGAGAGACCCGTCTCACTGGATTGATCCGCTTATTTGATTGATCGCTGTCGATTTGCTTAACATCAACAACAACAACGACATTGAATTGTAAATCCATTAAATGCAGGAAAGGACCGAGCTACTCGGAAGGGGAACACAGGCGAATCAACAGCACCTTCGTCGCCTTCGCTCTGCAGGTACTGTACAACCTACCCTGCAAGCGGGAGAGGGAGAGAGAGAGATGTACGCAGTAATTCTTCACTCCCCTCCCTTTCTCTTTTGCTCTCTCCAGAAGGAAGGGGAGAAGAACAGATTCAGACAAGGAGAGAACAACGAACGATGTGGCCATATGCAATTAAAGAAAAAAAGGGGGAAAAACAGCTAAATAAATAAATGTAAAGAAGACGTTTTGCTCCGTCCTCTTCGTCGGTCTCAAATATATGCATATGCGTATGCATGGGCTTCACGATAGCAGCGCAGAAGATTTCTGCGCCTGTCCGCCCACGCTGCCCATACGTGCGCCATCGGTGGGAGGGTTGCGACTTCGGAGGAAGGGAGAGAGAGGAGAAAAGCTAAAGCATGCCGAAAGAAAAAAAAGTAACAGTAGTTATCGAAAAACATCAAGTGGATGTTCGTGTCGTGCGGCTTCAACTTTCTGATTACGCTCTTCCTTTTTCCAAACATCGCGACGGGCATGTTCCCGGACTCAAAGTGGTTTGCGACCGTCGCCGTTTTTCTCTTCAACTGCTGTGATGTGATGGGGCGCTGGTCGCCGTCGCTGAAGTTCATGTGGCCGCGGAGCTACGGTGGGCGATGGATCATCGTGGCAGCGTCCTTTGCTCGCGTCATCTTCGTGCCGCTGCTGCTGCTCTACTCCTACCACTACATCCCGAGTGAGGCGTACGGCTATGTGACGGAGGTCATCTTCGGATTTTCCAACGGCTACGTCGGCTCCATGTCGCTCGTGCTGGGTCCTCAGTCAAAGGGCATCGACAACGATGGCAAGCGCGTCGTGGCGGGTACGCTGATGGGCATTTCGATCCTCATTGGCGGCACGATCGGCACGGTGCTGAGCATCATGACCCAGACGGTTCGCGAGAAATACTAAAAATGCCTCGCAGCACACGAGACGCGTGGGAGCACTTCGTATTATCGAGATCGACGGCGCCCAGCCCTCTCCGCAGCTCAGTGAGTTGCGGATGGAATCCGCGATGATGATGAAGGAGGACCCGATCGGGGATCAGCCCGTCAACGACCTGGACGCCATGGAGACGAGCCTGCAAGCCGCGGAGGTGGCGGCAGCGACGGATCGTGGCCTGACGAGCAACGAGGTGCTGCGCGCCACCGCCGTCGTCGACACCTTTTTACCTCCACCATGATGGGTGGTGTCGGTATCTCCGGTGTGATTACCTCTCTCATTCAAATCATCGTGAAGGCGGCGCTGCCGGACAACTACGAAGGCGTGAAGAAGCAGTCCTACATCTATTACAGCCTGGATGTGGGCATTCAGGCGACGACCTTTGTGGCCCTCGTCATGCTCCGCTTCAACAGCTTTGCTCGTCTGCACTTTGGTGACCTGGGTGGTGTCAAGAGCAAGGTGGACGCGGGCAGCCTCGCCGGTGAGCTCCGGCACGACAGCGCCATGAAGCTGGGAGGGAAGGCGCTGAACATGCCGTAGACCGTGGACTCGAAGATACTCTTGCCGAAGCCGCCAATGAAGCCGGCCATGCAGATCGTAGCCACCGCACCGCCTTCGTTCGTGCCGCGAGCCGGAACCGCCATCAGCACGATAATCTCGAGAATAAGAATGCATAAGCCGCCAAGCAGACGCACCAGCATCGGGATACGGCGGAAGCCCTTCAGCAGCGTCAGCGGCTCCATCACCAAGCACGTGACCAGGCCGATCAGGTTATAGTAGGTCAGCACATTAGACCAGAAGTTTGTCATGGCCGGCACAAAATCTGGGTCTTTAGTGGCAAAGCGGTAGTACGTCAACATGTACGACGGTGCAGAGAAGACGGCGTTGATCGGCATCAGCATGGAGATGCCGCACAGGAAGGCCACCACGTAGACGTAGAATTCAGCGGCGCTCATCTGGTACCACGGGCGCGGCGGCGGCGGCGGCGCAGCGGACTGATCGGGAATGACCGTCTCAGACTTCATGGCTATCCTGCTGTAGTCGATGCTTTTTCAGCGGGGAAGTACGTCGGTGCGTTCGCGTAGCGAAGAGCAGAAAAAAGGCGCTGCGGAGTCTTGTCGTTATCCTTCCTATATGGATTGTATCGATGCAGACGCATCAAGAGGTGAAGGAGGGGGGGGGGTAGGGGGAGAGGAAGAGAGAGGGGAGGAGAAGGACGGGAAGTACAAAGAAAAAAGACAGACCAACAAAGAGACACAAAGGAGCTAACACGCGCACCGCCGTCAGGTTTCAGCGGGGAAGGAGAGGCTGGACGCTGATGCACCACGGCGCAGTGCGGATGACGTTGGGTCTAGTGTGGTACGTCAAAGCTGTACCGAACGAGTCTTTTACGTGTTGGGAGCTGCCAGCCAAACTCACGATGCTTCAGAAAAACAAAAATGAAAACAAAAAGAAGAAAAGGACTCGAAGAAGCCTAACAGAAGTCGCTTTGAGCACCAACGGACAAAAGTTGATGTAGAAAAAAGTTTTCCATTTCCAACCCCGGGGGCACCGAGTGCTCGTTATCCCACGCCGATGCACATGCAGCTGCCAGCAGACCTGGCAAATTTGAGCTCCGCGTACGAAAGCCGCACGGACAGGCCACATCCGCACTATCAACAACATTAGAAGCTAAAGAGAAGAGAGAAAATGAAGAAGAGGCCAATGTGGTCAGCGAACGTCCACAACAGAATACACGAAATAATAATAATAATAGAACTTCGAAAAGTTTGCTGCAATGGCTTCCGCGCGATAAAGTGCAGGGAGTCCAAAAGAAATAAAAAGAGCAGAACCCAACAGGTAATTATCACAGTGGGGTGTGTGAATCACGCGCTTGGGGCGCAACACACACACACACACATACAGTCTCACAGCCACTGTGAAGATACGAAAGATGAGAAAAGACACCTACCTAACAGGTGCTTCTTTCTCATGTGTGTCTGGTGCTATGATTTAACTACAGTTTTCAACTATATACATGCACGCGTGTACGCACCTCTTTCACAGCTTCATTAAGAAACAAACAAACCAAGGGGAGTTCAACGACGGAAAAGAAAAGGAAGAGAAGACGATGACATTTGTATGGGAAGATAATCGCTTAAACAAAAGAGAGAGGGAGGGTTCGACAGAAGATACCGGGTCACGTGACCCGCGTCGCTGACCTACACAGCTGCAATGGAAATAATAAATGACAGACGCCGAGCGCAGTGGGAAGAAAGAGAAAGAAAGAGAAGTACAATAGAGGTGAGCCTCAGCTTACCACCAGGTGGTGGTAGTGACGGTTTACAACACGAAAAGAACAGAAAGATTTCAAATATATAAATATGTCAGCGCTTCGTTCCGTGGAGCTTGACATACTATACTATACATATACATTTATATAAGCTGAATACAGTGCAACCACCACAAACAAGGAGAGACCCGTCTCACTGGATTGATCCGCTTATTTGATTGATCGCTGTCGATTTGCTTAACATCAACAACAACAACGACATTGAATTGTAAATCCATTAAATGCAGGAAAGGACCGAGCTACTCGGAAGGGGAACACAGGCGAATCAACAGCACCTTCGTCGCCTTCGCTCTGCAGGTACTGTACAACCTACCCTGCAAGCGGGAGAGGGAGAGAGAGAGATGTACGCAGTAATTCTTCACTCCCCTCCCTTTCTCTTTTGCTCTCTCCAGAAGGAAGGGGAGAAGAACAGATTCAGACAAGGAGAGAACAACGAACGATGTGGCCATATGCAATTAAAGAAAAAAAGGGGGAAAAACAGCTAAATAAATAAATGTAAAGAAGACGTTTTGCTCCGTCCTCTTCGTCGGTCTCAAATATATGCATATGCGTATGCATGGGCTTCACGATAGCAGCGCAGAAGATTTCTGCGCCTGTCCGCCCACGCTGCCCATACGTGCGCCATCGGTGGGAGGGTTGCGACTTCGGAGGAAGGGAGAGAGAGGAGAAAAGCTAAAGCATGCCGAAAGAAAAAAAAGTAACAGTAGTTATCGAAAAACATCAAGTGGATGTTCGTGTCGTGCGGCTTCAACTTTCTGATTACGCTCTTCCTTTTTCCAAACATCGCGACGGGCATGTTCCCGGACTCAAAGTGGTTTGCGACCGTCGCCGTTTTTCTCTTCAACTGCTGTGATGTGATGGGGCGCTGGTCGCCGTCGCTGAAGTTCATGTGGCCGCGGAGCTACGGTGGGCGATGGATCATCGTGGCAGCGTCCTTTGCTCGCGTCATCTTCGTGCCGCTGCTGCTGCTCTACTCCTACCACTACATCCCGAGTGAGGCGTACGGCTATGTGACGGAGGTCATCTTCGGATTTTCCAACGGCTACGTCGGCTCCATGTCGCTCGTGCTGGGTCCTCAGTCAAAGGGCATCGACAACGATGGCAAGCGCGTCGTGGCGGGTACGCTGATGGGCATTTCGATCCTCATTGGCGGCACGATCGGCACGGTGCTGAGCATCATGACCCAGACGGTTCGCGAGAAATACTAAAAATGCCTCGCAGCACACGAGACGCGTGGGAGCACTTCGTATTATCGAGATCGACGGCGCCCAGCCCTCTCCGCAGCTCAGTGAGTTGCGGATGGAATCCGCGATGATGATGAAGGAGGACCCGATCGGGGATCAGCCCGTCAACGACCTGGACGCCATGGAGACGAGCCTGCAAGCCGCGGAGGTGGCGGCAGCGACGGATCGTGGCCTGACGAGCAACGAGGTGCTGCGCGCCACCGCCGTCGTCGACACCTTTTTACCTCCACCATGATGGGTGGTGTCGGTATCTCCGGTGTGATTACCTCTCTCATTCAAATCATCGTGAAGGCGGCGCTGCCGGACAACTACGAAGGCGTGAAGAAGCAGTCCTACATCTATTACAGCCTGGATGTGGGCATTCAGGCGACGACCTTTGTGGCCCTCGTCATGCTCCGCTTCAACAGCTTTGCTCGTCTGCACTTTGGTGACCTGGGTGGTGTCAAGAGCAAGGTGGACGCGGGCAGCCTCGCCGGTGAGCTCCGGCACGACAGCGCCATGAAGGTGGGAGGGAAGGCGCTGAACATGCCGTAGACCGTGGACTCGAAGATACTCTTGCCGAAGCCGCCAATGAAACCGGCCATGCAGATCGCAGCCACCGCACCGCCTTCGTTCGTGCCGCGAGCCGGAACCGCCATCAGCACGATAATCTCGAGAATAAGAATGCATAAGCCGCCAAGCAGACGCACCAGCATCGGGATACGGCGGAAGCCCTTCAGCAGCGTCAGCGGCTCCATCACCAAGCACGTGACCAGGCCGATCAGGTTATAATAGGTCATCACATTAGACCAGAAGTTTGTCATGGACGGCACAAAATCCGGATTGTGCGTTGCGTAGAGGTAGTAGGTTGTGATGTACGACGGTGCGGAGAAGACAGCGTTCACTGGCATCATCATGGAGACGCCGCACAGGAAGGCCACCACGTAGACGTAGAATTCAGCGGCGCTCAGCCGGTGCCACTGGCGCGGCGGCGGCGCCGCTGCCTGCGCCTCCGTAGCCACTTTCTCAGACGTGCTTCGCATAAAGAAAGCGGTGCTTGACTTTCCCCCGGAAGGAACACGATCGGGAAAGAGAATAGTAATATTAATAAAAGGCTGGTAGAGTTCTATTGACTTGGTGAGCGAGGGACTGGGTGGAGAACGGCGAGAGGGACAGAGAAAGGCGTCTGCGCGCACTAAGAAGAAAAGAGAATGTGAGGCTCCAGCGCGCGAGGGTGATTCAGCGATGCAGTACGTTCGTTGTAACCCTTTAACGCAGGCGTAAAGAGATATGGTGACGTGCCGAGCGCGGATGAAAGGGGAAGGGAGAGAAACCCCAAATGGAGGTCGAATTTGATAAAGCGATATGGACAGTTGGAAGCATAAGCTGTTACGCAGGAGCGATGCTTTGTACCATTGAACCTGTGGTTGTGGTTGTGGTTGTGGTGGTGGTGGTGGGGGAGGAGGAGAATCATGCACGACAGCGAAAGCGCAGGCGGCCCATCAGCTGTGCAACCAATAATAATAGTGACAGTTAAAGACAGCGTAATAATAAAGACCAAGGCATATTTAATACAAAGCGCCGTTATTTCGACCTGCTTCTTTCCTCTCGCCACCTCTTTCTCCGCTGCCCCTCGTTTCTCCACCGCAAGGAGGGCGTTTTAATGATTTGTACGGCGCTACGCCCCGGGGTGAGTTCGCAGCTGCCCCATGCAACGCGGCAGTGCCGGAGGGGAACTGCATTAAAAAGGCAGAGGAATCCACACACACACACACACACACACACAAGAAGAGAAGACGACCGTCCCGGCAACAACGCTGATCATTCCTGCGCCTTTCATTCTTATATATATATACGCATTCTCTACGCCGCCTGTGCCGCTGCCTCTGACGCGCTCTTCGGCTTCAGGAAGCCCTCCTCCACCATTGCCGGCACCTCAATCGAGAGCCACGGCCCCAGCCCTAGCGCGAGAACGTGACTAATGCCGAAGTACGGTACGTTGCGTGCCCAAAGAGGGAAAAAGTGCGTCGTCATGCAAATCTTCCCTCCGCGGTACATCTTGACCGTCTTGCCCTCCAGCTCCGGCAGTGCCACTTCCGGCGGCGCCTGCGGGTAGGTCACCGGGATGTCAAAGTTTATTTCAAACTCGTACTTCTCGTTCTTGTAGTAGGTCCAGCAGGTGCCGTACCACCGCGTGCCTTGCGGGTTGCTCTCCAGCTGGAACCAGTGCGCATCGCTCGCTTTGTTGTTCTCGACGTAGGTGATGAGCGAGGTGTACTCCTCCTTGAGGCGCGTCGTCCAGCTGTCGCCGTCGCGCGGGCCAGCCTTGGTCTTGAGCAGCGGGATGCGCTTCACGCTCTCCTTCACCGCCGGCTCCATTGTGCAAATGGCGTGCACCTAGCGCGTGCTGCTGCTGCTGCTTTGCTTTCTTTTCTTTTAATGATTGCTTGGTGTGGAGCGCCGAGGCAAGGCAGAGCGCGGTGTTCCCGTGAAAGGAAGAAAACCCAGCAAGAAGAAAGGAACGGAAAAGGCCGAGAACAAGAGAGAGATGAGTGAGGCGAGTTCCGCAGAGGTGCGAAAGGGGGGGGGGGGCCGGGCACGGATGGAGTTTGCCCGCAAGTCATCACCTTTCAAGCGGAGCTGCGCTGCAACAACAACGCGGTAAACGCGAAAGACCGTTTTGACGGTGACAGCACGCAGATGGAGTGGCACTGCATCCCCGCAGCGGACGTGTGCGTGAAAGCCCTACCAAAGTGTCCATTGAAAGACAACAAAAGCAGGTGTCGATTTCCCGTGACATCCATTTTTGTTCAGTTGAGAGTTCTGCACCGAGCAACGTACGAGAGGTACTTCAGAAAGTCCTCAAAACGTCATCTCCATTGCGTGACGTGCATCACCTCCGTTCCCCTCCCCTCCCCCACAGCAAACATGCACGTCGTCGCCCCCGTCCGGCCCTTCTCACTCGTTTCGACGAGAGATTCGATCGCCCATCGCGGCATCCGGTGCTAGCCCGCCAGGGACATTCGCTGCCTCTCCGCCACCGCCGCTGCTCTTTGCTGTTTGGAAGATCGTCTCCAGCCGCGACAGTTCCCGCTGCTCACGATCCCGCTTCTCCACTTCCTCCTGCGACTCCGGCTTGAACATGGACGCGTTCTTCGTCAGGTACTCGTCAATGGCGTCGTGGTCGACGACGGAGATGAGATCAAACGGTAGGAAGCCGTAGCGGAACAGCGCACTCGCACGGTTCAGTGCGAAGTTGTAATGCCGGCAGAGCTCCTGACCGGGCTGAATGTCTCGCAGCGAGAAGAGGGTAATGGCGCCCGCTCCGTTGAGCACCGGCGACGGCCCAACCCGCACCGCACAGTTCGGCCGGTTGCTGTGGTTCACGAGGTCCAGGAACGGCACAAGCGCGACATCGGACGGGTCAGGCGTCTTCTTCCACCGCCGCCACCGTCGCTGCATCCTTCGCACCAACGCACTGCCGTCGTAGTAGCCCGCCGGCGGCACGTGTTCGACCCGCGCAAGCACCAGCCGCGTAATACGCTGGAAGTGCTCCAACTTAAACGGCGGCTTTACCGCCTCGTGAACGGACGTCAGCGCCAGATGGTACTTCTTCGTCATCTCCTCGTAGCTGCTGCGCTGCCACGAGTCAAGCGCCATGCCGTACATCCCAAACACAAACTCCTCGCTGAAGTCTTCGTCGTCTAAAAGGCGGGCGTAGGGGTTCGCGCCGGCCCGCAGGATGCCGCTCACGCGATCCAGCTCCTCCTGCGACTCGGACTGCATGATATCGGGCAGGCTCGCGATGATGGCGCTCATCTGCAGGCCCAGATAGAACTGTGGGGCCATGATGCGGAACTCGTCGTCGCGGATGGCGCTGCGCACATCTGCAACGGACACGTCGTGGAGCGTGTTTGGCTTTCTCGCGATGTTCGATAAGGTGTACAGGGAATTGAGGGGGATGGTGGCTAACGGCTTGTTGGCCGGGAGGGGTGCGGCACGGTCGGGAGAGAGGAAGAGGCCACGCTGCTGCGACGAGCGGATGCCAATGAAGGTGTCCTCGTGAAGGCGAATATTGAAGTAGTCGGTGCAGCAGCGGTAGAAGTCAGGAGGTAGGGTGGAACGCGGACCGTAGAGGACCTTGCCCAGACCGAGGCGGAGCTCGGAGCGTTGAAGCATGATGGTGCTGGAGAGAGAGAAAAAACCCTCTTTCTGCTGTAGCACACACGCAGTATATCGATATTTCCTTGACCTTGCACGTGTGTACAACGGGCAGAGGCCGTCCTATCGAGTGTTGACGTCATCAACAGTAGCAGTAGGCCCAGAAAAATGAAAGGAAATAGTTTGACGAAGACAGAGGCCCCAAAGAGGGGAGGAAGGGAGGGGGGAGGGAGAAACGAATGCCGCCGATACCGCATCAGAGACTTTGTTTGTCCTTGCTGGAAGGGCAGAGCGCTTAAAGTGGACAGCTTGAATCGCGGCAGCGTCGCCACTTCGGGCAAAGTACACTTGGGCAGCAACACTGGTAGCACCGCCGCTCAATAATCCCTGCCGTAGCTTCAAGAAAAAAAAAAGTAATGAATAGTAACACACGCCCGCGCCATTCAGGACGCCTGAGCTACCATTCTTCCGGCAAACCCCTAGAGCCTTGTGGGTGACTTCACGCAGAAAGTCGGTGACAGCGGAGAGCGGTACAAGCGGGAGAGGGGGGGGGGGAGAGGACGGACGAGACATTACAACCGTGAGATAACGCGTGTTTGGGGATAATGAAGCTGTCTATAAGTGTATATGTATATTTGTTGTTGTTCGCACTTCGCTTGAACCAACTCCAATACATGCGACGCAGCCGTTCAAAGAGAGAAAGAGAGTTCTACTTGGCGTTTCATCTCTAGTTGCAAGAGAAAGAAAGAAGACACGCTATATATGTATATGTGTGCTTTCACGTGATAGATGGGGGGCGCCAGCCCACACCAAAGAAGAAGGGCAGAGTGCTTGTGATGGCAAGGCAGACACCAAGAACAGAACCCCACCCCTTCCTTTTCCTTCTTTTCCCATTTAGATGAAGCGGTTGGAGCGGAACCACAAGAAAATGCAGGTCGCCACCGTGCACATCAGCATTCCACAAAAGACGCCGCCGTACTCGTTGTGCAGCATGGGCAGATCCTCGAAGTTCATGCCATACACGGATGCAATAAAACTTAGCGGGATGAAGAAAGCGCTGAACACCGTCAGCACCCGCATCAGCTCGTTCACTTGGTACGACGACAGCTGGAACAGCAGCTGTAGCACCGAGTCCGCGTTGGAGTTGAGCTCCTCGGCCAACGACTCGACGTGGGCGAGGTCGTGCATAATTTCCTGATAGCCGACCTGTGCACTCGAAATGCGCAGCGCGGTGGCGATGTGCGAGTAGGCGTCTTGCGTCAGGGTCATCGTACGGCCGTAGACGGAGGCGCGGCGCTTGATGTGGTAGATGTCGCGTGCCATGGACGAGCGATTGCGCTGCGTGCTGAAGAGGTTCGCTTCGTAGCGGTCGAACTCGACGATGCACTTCGAAATCGCCTGCGCGAAGGTGCCGACCGTCTCCTTCACAAAGTAGTACAAGAGATAACGCTGCCCCGGCAGCATCGGCGACTCGTCCTTCCCCGACGGCACAAGCCCGCTGCCTTCGTGGCGTGTACTCGACAGCTTGTCTAGACCCCTGCCGGACAGGTAATGCTGCCAGTTCAGCTTCAACTCCTCCACGTACGAGCACTGGGTGCGGTGCACGGTGATGACCTTGACAGGCGACATAAACACGGTGAAGCGGTTCGTGAGATCTTGAAAGCTGTCCATCTGCTTGTTCGCCGGGGCCTCGATCGCGTACCGCATGAGCAGGCTGTAGCACCCCTTCACAACCGTCACCTGCGGCAGCAGCATCGGCTCGGCGCAGTCTTCCTCCATGGTGCGGTCGACGCCCAGGCCGAGCAGCACCTCCTCCAGCGCCTCCTTGTACTCACTGAGGGTCGCGGTGGGGTGCATGGAGATGTCGATCCAGCGAAATTGGTTCTCCGGGGCCACCATGCAGGAGATGAGCAGCGTGGACGGGATGCGAGGGAGGCCCGTCAGCTGCTTGATGGTTTGGTAGTTCACGACGGAGAAGCTCGTGCGCACGCCGTCGTTGCCGAGGCCCGCCTTCGCAAAGTCGGAGCCGAGGCTTGCCATAAGGAGCTGCTTGATACGCTTGTTGCGGTTCGCCTGAACGGTGAGGAGTGTTTCAGGCAGCTCTTCATCGCCATCGTCGTCGTCATCTTCCGCCTCTCCACTTTTCTTGTCCACTGCCGCCGGCGCCGTCTGCTCTTTCTTTGTGTTAGCTGGGAACTTCGCTGCCGCCGTGTCCGTCCTGACATCCATAGCTGCAACAGACGCAACAGCGGTAGACAACGACGAGGATACCGTGAAGACGGTGTGCTCAGACGAGGGGGCGGCTACGTTGAACTTCTCCTGCGCGGCAGCGCCGCCGGCGGAGTGAGCCAGCGTAGCCGGCTTCGCTTCAGTTGCAGCTGCCGCTTGCGTTGTTGTCGCTGCGGTGCCGGCAGGCGAGGGCCTCGCCTTTCCTACGTCCCCGGCGGCGTCAGACGACCTCTTCTCTCCCCCTGATGTTCCTTCTGTCGCAGTAGCGCCACTTGCGTGATCTTTTGGTGAGTCTTTGCTGTGCGTGGGCATGGCGGATGCCGCTACGGCCGTTGCCGGGGTCGCAGGCGCATTACCTGGTGCTGCCCTCACAGGCTGGTCATGCCGACTGCCTTTCTTCGACGTTCCGGTCAGAGCCGCGTTCACCACACCGACCACGGCGGAGGCCAGCTTTACCGGTGTGGCCGGCGTCTCCATCTGCACCGCTGTCCTGCTTTGGTGCTCCCTCTCCAAACCCGGCACGTACCACTGCGCTACGCGATGGCGGACCAGACCGGCACCCTTGTCATCCCACGGACCGCGGTACGCAGATGTGTCGCCCGCTGCTGCTGCTGCTGCTGCTGTGCCTTGCGCTGCCTTGGCTGCATCACTGGGGCCGGTGATGGAGTCCTTGCCGTGAAAGGGAGTTGCGGTGGAAGTGGGTTTCCCCGGCTGCGCGTTGCCAGTGGCGGAGTATTGTGGAGAAGAACCACAAGTGCTAGTCTGGTCGTTGTTCGGCGTTCCCGTCATCTCCTGCGCCTCTCCTGCGCGGACGCTTGAGCTGCTATTCGTGGTGGCCGGCTCGCCAGAATTCTCCGCCTTTGGCGTCGTTACAGGACTCGGTCGATCGTCGAGGGCGGCGTAGAAGTCTTCCATCGACTCCTCCGGTGTTTCCCAGGGCATCGTGGTTCGATAGGCGCCGTCACGCGCGTCGTCATCCGCCAAATTGCCGTCGTTGCTGCCGCGGCTTGCACGGAAGGATTCATTCTCCTCTCCTGAATTGCGCGAGGAGGAGCCGGACGACGAGGACGTGACGTAGCAGCGCTGCGCATTCAAATGCGCGGTGGAGGACTGGGCCGACGTTGCTGTCAGCCGTGCTGCTTGGAGAAGTGTGGTGCCGCGTACAAGGCGTGCGTGACTCGGTTCGCTTACGTGGCAAGCGTGCGGTGTACGCGGGCAGCGACGTGACTGCCATGACGAGACGGATAAAACAGAGAAAACCGCGCAGCGCACCACAGGGCGCCAGCTTCGACCACTGACGCCTCCCGGAATCATGTGCGAGCGTGACTGCGTGTGTTCTTCGTGTATTTCCTTTTTTCAAATTCCAAGAGAAAACATATATATATATATATTCCTCAGATTCAAGCAAATAGTAAAGCTGCGGGGTGCAGCAATAATCGAGCTGATTTAGCAGATACAGAATAAAGTCACAACTGTGTCATGAATAACATCAACAACTAAGCCGAGAGATACGACGGCCGTGGCTGCGTACTTCCGCTGAGAGACGCCCGCAAGGTGGGAGAAAGACCGGCGTGGGAGTGCAAATGCGGATTTCCAAAAGAAAAAAAAAGAAGAGGTACCACCGCTAGATTTCACCTTGGGAGGGGCGGCAAGCGTTGATGTAGTCGCTGAAAGGTATGCAATACGGGGAGGATAATCGGGGTGGCCTTCAGAGAGCGCGAGAGAGAAAGACAACGACTGCGCGTTACGTGTGTATGTGAATATGTGTATATATATATATATATATATATATAGTAGACGCTACC